AGAGTGAGCGAGCGGTGTATGTTTTCTGGAAATGAAACGAGGCAGCAGGAAAAAGCATAGGTCTGTGATGTATCTTGTGAAACAGAAGAGCAAAATAAATGCAACGAACTCCCAAGAAGAGCTCGCCTCTCTCCAGTCATTTTATAAAGTGGGTTATTGAACCCGAAGCGTGTTGCTTCTGCCCTGGCTGGGAGACGACAGAGAGTCATCCCCCCTGTTTCCTCAACCACGGTCTGGGAGCCGACAGGAAAGTTCAACAATATATAGGTTATAATCATGGCTATAATACGTAACATGTGTAATCACACACTTAGCGATATAGAACATAAATAATAAAATCGTAGGTATAGCTGGTTTAAAACACTTTTGTGGTCATACTGTGGAATGAGTTCACACTGAAACAAGTTCTTTATTCAAAATGTCGCGGGCAATTACATGTAAGAAGAAGGAGAAGAAGAAGTAGTAGAAGAAAAATGAAGCTGGTGTGTTTTATTATACATCCATGGTTTTCCCGCAGCGAGACACTACAATACTAATTGTGGCTTATCATGTTGATTCGACCACAAAAAACCTCACTCTCCAGAGGGGCAGGTCAGCCAAAAAGGCGAAACGGGCCGTTGCCCGGGCAACATTAGCCCGTACCTGTGCACGTCCCTGGCCAACATCCCCCATTTTCATCACTTACAGCGCCCAGCGTACAGGGCAAATGAAATGTGTAACCTGGGTGAAAAGGGTGTTACAATTACTTAATTATGAATGTTGTTACATCAAGGCCGAAAATTAGGATGAGCACCAACGGTCAAAAATGTTTTTTTCCCTCCCAGAACTGCCAGCGCAGCGCCTCCACAGATCTGGCACCCTAGGCGAACATCTATAACACCAGTGCTACGGACTGACCCTGAGTTCATATGCAACTCGCAAATATATTTATTTCTCTCTCTCCTCTCTCCTCCCTTCTCTCTCTCCCTCTCTCAATTTTGGTGCACAAATGCGCCTTTTTTCAAATGACCCGGCGCACCTGCGCACCAGTTATGTGCAGCCCTGATTATTACCCATACTGTTAGAGCCGTGTTATGCATGCCCACAGCACCTCGCGGGAACGTGCACAGCGTAAAGCTGTCATTATATATCAGATATCATTTCCTTTTGGCATGCATAACACGACATAATACCGGAGCCCCGCTGCGGGGAAACGTTGGCGCTGTTCGGAGTTGTTCTAATCTGTCAAAATGACGGACGGCTTTCTGATTTTTCCATCATTGTTAAATAAAATCCATCATAGACGGAAAATATTCGGTTAACGCAACCTCTGGTGACCAGACTCTTAAAGAGGACATATAATGCTCATTTTCCAGGTCATATTTGTGTTTCGTTCCTTTACAGCAGGGGTGTCCACACTTTTTTCACTTAGGGCCACATACAGAAAAATATACGAAGGGCTGGGCCACTCACTAGAGATTAGGTATATTGCCTCATAAATTAAGTTATAAGTTGGCTAAATTAATCAAATGTAGGTAAATGATGCTTGTTACTTCAATATGCTTAAAGAAGAAACAGCCTTCATCCCAGCTCTCCATAGGGTTTCATTTATCTTGTTGGCAGCTCATTCCTTAAAACAGGAGACGGGTCTATTTCAAGCTTGTTATGATGATAAGTTATTGGGCTTTTTTCTTATCAACTTAGATTTTGTACATCTACATACATTTACATATTTAAGAACTACAAGACAAGCAAAAGTTAAATTTGCGGGCCATATTTCATTATACTTCGGGCCGCATTTGGCCCCCGGGCCGTAGTTTGGACACCCCTGCTCTACTGTGACATGTCTCCATGCTTCAATGTTCAAAAATCTCTTTATTATTCTCATACTGCCTGTGCTGCAGCACCTCTTTTCACCCTCTGTCCCTTAGCCTATCATGTGCACAATGTGTTGGAGTGCTGGCCAATAGGAGGGCAAGTGTTACGTAGTGATGTCACTATGGAGGCGTTTCAGGCAGTTTACATGCAGACAAAAATAACACACTAAAGGAAAGCGAAAACCCAATAAAGCATAGTGGGGCCCCTATAATGGAAGTGGGTAATTTGAAAAAAGGCGCATTTGCGTACCAACATTGAGAGAGAGAGAGGAGAGAGAGAAGGGAGAAGAGAGAAGAGAGGAGAGAGAAGAGAGGAGAGAGAAGAGAGGAGAGAGAGAAAGATATTTGCGAGTTGCATATGAACTCAGGGTCGGCTCCGTAGCACTGGCGTAATAGATGTTCACCTAGGGCGCCAGATCCGGGGAGGCGCTGCGCTGGCAGCTCTGGGAGGGAAAAACAATTTTTTGACCGTTGGGGCTCATCCTAATTTTCGGCCTTGATGTAACAACATTCATAATTAAGTAAATGTAACACCCTTTTCACCCCGGTTACACGTTTCATTTGCCCTGTATGATGGGCGCTGTAAGTGATGAAAATGGGGGATGTTGGCTTATCTGGCACCCGCAGCTCACAGCCAAAGTGCGAGTGAGCGTGGGATCGAGGGAGGGTGCAACGGTTCCGGCGCTGTTGTTATTAGCATCTGGTGCTAGCAGCTCTAACGGATATAAGAAGAAGATGTTTCTACAATAATGTGGAGGGAGAGTCCTCTCCAGTCAGACTGAGAGGCTGATAACTACAGCTCAGTGAGGTAAAGGACTCTGAGTGTTTAGATAGTTCACTTTAGTCTAAGTTATCTCAGTGGGTCTCAAACGTTTTGATCACAAGTTATGTAAACACATATTTCCAAGGCACTCCTTTATAATTATTGGGATAAACAGGTTTGAAATCATTCCAATGTATACTATAAGACAGTAAACCAGACATATAGTTTAAAACTGGAAAGATAAAAAAAAATGCATAAATGTTAAGGTAAAATAAGATATGAATGAACAACAACAATACAAATAAGTTACATTCATTTGTTTTTGGCTATGGTAGGTTATTGGTTATGTTCACATACTTATTTGATTACATCCACTTGTCTAAGATGACAACACAGACTTTCGACCCAAAACCAGCAGCTAATCGCAGACTCAACCAGAGAGGAAGAAGTAGGCCTACATCATCAGCTACCATGTCTGACAGAGAGGAAGACAGTGAGGAGAACAGTCAGGAGGGTAGTGATGACAGCTTGTAGGATTACTGGTCGTGCTAATGTTGTCTTGTGTTCACATCTGCATGTGTGTTCTGTGTTCACCTCTGCATGTGTGTTCTGTGTTCACCTCTGCATGTGTGTTCAGCGCATGTGTCTGGCAAATAAAGTCAAGACCCCCTCAAAAGTTACAGTGTATTTAATTTTAAGGATGAGCACCAAGCAACATCTCCAGGTGCTCCTTTGAGAACCAGGGCAAAAAAGTTATGTGCACCCCTGCTTATAGAAGACTGCCGCATGATTGAGTACAAATAGTTGTGTCTCTGTGATAGGCGGTTAGGACTTTGTCAGACAACGTGAAATATTGACTAATCGTATCAGCTTAATCTTCTGCTCTAGTCAGTGTCACAAGTGCTTTTGGTTCCATAAGTCAAGTAAAGGATCTGAACTCACCAAAAGAGCACAAGATGTACCCCGCCTAGCATATCACGTACAATGTGTTAAAGTACGAGCCAGTAAAAGAGTGTTACATAGTGTGAAGCTGACCGTTGAGCGGCCCAGACCAAGCAAGGAGGCAGAGGCAGAACGTCCAAAAATATAACCTGACGTGGGCATTTATTAAAATCCTGGGCACAAAGTTCACAGCCTCAATCTTGCTGTTCTCCTTCCACCCATCCTGCAGCCACAAAGATCTCAAAAACACTACCAGCCTCCCAACAGACAGGGAAACAGAGCCTAAATACACACACTAATCAGCACAACAAGACACAGGTGAGGGGGGGAGGAGACAACACAGGACACCAGGTGCACACAATTACTCGGCCTGAAGCAGTCAGTCCATAGTGACGAAGTTACCTTCGTCACACATAGTGATGTTATTATGATACGGATTAAACACAGGCGTTTCAGAAAGGCCCTGATGTATCAGATTGCTGGCATGGAGCGCAGTGAAAAAAACCTCACAGAAAGTTCTGGGAGGAAGGTCTTAAAACTCAAGTTGGTCCTCATAAAGATAGAAGTATGAGAAAAAGAGTTGATATTAAACGCCTCTGCAGTTAAACTCACTTTTAGCTTTATGCATTGACAGTTAATTACTTCAGAGCATGAGATGTTTATATAAAGCAAATCACCTGAAAAAGCAGTCTGAGTGTGTAAAGAGCGTTACTATGGTAAGTTAAGTTTATGAAATGTGATGCGACGAGTTACCAAGGTGCTCTCAGATCGTGCTGCACCCCCTCCTTTAATCTTTCATTTAAATCTAAGAAACTGTAAATACTAAGCTCCTCTCTACGGGTAATGATGTGAAAGTCATCCAAACACTGACGTCATTAAAGGTATCCAACTAAAGTTACATTTCACCTCCTACACACACACTGAGGCCCACAGACGACTCAGCATCTAACACAACAATGATGATTCACTGCGTTATGCAACGCAAACTGGCAACAGAAGAAATGAGAGGAGACGAGGGAGTTTAGAGGAGATCAAAAGGTTCATGTGGAGAGCTTGTCTGGTCTATAAGTGTCTCTAAATGCAGTTTAATATTTTAGGCAGATGAGATATTAGAAGCTTTAGTTAGTGTTGCAAGTAAAGAATGAAATGATAATTGAAGCCAAACTGTGGCAAGTTTCCTAGATTTGTCCTATTATCCTCGTCAGTTGACAGCGTCAGTCTTTTTACCCATAAACCTTTGTTTTGTAGGGTTGTATGGATATAATCAATGCTCACATTATTTCAGATTTAGGCATTTAGTGTGTCAATTGTTATTTGGAGTGCTCATATTTCTGCTAGGCTCATCAGCACTTATTTCAAACATAAATTACTCCACACATCTTTCAATTGCAACCTTAGTCACAGCGATTATTTGGTCATAAACTACCATTCTGACTCACCAGGTATCCACTCATCTTCATCATCTCCGTCGTTGTCATCGTCTCCATCAGTGATGTAGCAGACCTCCATCTCCCTCTTCCTCCCATTCAGCCGCTCCTCTTCTTCAGCAGACATCCTGACCTGCAGGCTGCTGCTACCTCAGCATGGCCGCACTGCACACCTGAAGCAGAAATACAAGGTGAGGATGAATAGATGACCAAGTACAGGTATAAACACAGAGACACTGATTTAATGAATTTGAATGTATTTGTATTAGCTTGTCTCGGTTGATCTTCAGCCTCAGGTTTGAAGCTTTTCTTCAAAGTAAAAAAGTGCACTTAAATAGAATAAAATAACTGTGTGTATTGGCTATGCATTTTATGCTTGGGTAACATTTGTCTGTAGGCAACATTTAAAGTGGAAAGCTGGAAAAATAAAAAAATAAAATGTTTGGAGAACATTTTATTTTACAAGACTATTAAAATCTGTTTAGAAAGCTTGTCACTGTTTTTCATTTAGTTTAAGACGTGTATTCACTCAATTATTCCCTGAATTACATTGAAGCATGTAAACATGCAGTGGCGAACCATCAGGGCCTTCAAGGTATTCAGAGAATACCCTGGAACACTCAGATAAAACAAACAAAAAATCGATTTAATTATATAAATAAAATGTATATAAAATGAATAAATGAGAATCGTATCTGTGTTGTTGATCTGTAATATTATGGCGCGTTTCCACTGCAGCGGGTAGCTCGCTTTAAGCGGGCCGAGCCGTGCGGGGCCCGTTTTTGGTTGCGTTTCCACTTGGCCTAGTACCGGCTAGCGGGTCCTAATTCACTGTTTTTCTAGCCCCATAAAATCGTGGTTCTAGGGCCAGGAACAACCAGGCTGAGTATGCTAAACTAGAGAGAGAATCGCTGGCAAGGGGGCTACAACTACAACAAGATGAACATATTTGACCGTGATTTAATTGTAATACACGTTTCAAAATTATGCCGAAGTAACAACATACTGATACCGGTTAGTAAAAACCATGAATTAATGCTTTGACAAGTCTGCAGACAGACGGCAGACTTTTAAAATGTGTGTTGTCTAAATGGAGCTTGGCTAAGCTAACGTTATATATGCTCCGACCGTCCACACTCACAACAACGGCCTATACAGACATAAATAAACCAGCGACTGTACTGTTTGTCCTTCTCGGACCATGCACTACGCATTTCAGTGGTTTTGTGTTAGAAAAGAAAGCAACCAATCAGATCTTGTTCTGGGTCTCTGGGTAGAATATCCTTCAACAAGGTATTCTACATCCTTGATAGAATGCCCTGGCCGTTGCACTGAATGAGAGCGTACGTTTGGACTGACAGTTTGATCAACCAATCATATATTGATTTGTAGCCAATGGGCGTATTCTTTCAGAGTTTCCCTCGGTTCCAGGGTATTCTAGAAGGCCCGCTAGTTAACTGGCTCGAGACAGAGGATAGATGAATGCGACGAAGCAATTCATGCCGTTTTATTGTTTTTAAGGCTGAAATGGCAACAGGTGAAGATGATGTTGTTCCGGAATTGTTGCGAGTACCCTTTTCAAGACGACAATTCAGTGAAAAGACGGACATTATAACGGCGGCGCAGGTGTGCGTGTCTACAGAAAGTCCAGTTGTGATAGACACGGTTCGCAACTGTAAACATGTCACAGTAGAGGCACAAAAACACAATTATGAACCTGAAAATGTGCACAATATGTCCTCTTAAATTACAACAAAAATGAAGTATTTCTGTATTTTCTTGTATTTGTGTAATTTGTGTTTTCTCTGGTGGAAATAAAATACATCACATCATTTTGATTCTGTATAAAAACGGTTTACCTCCAGGGTTTTTATATTACTAAAAGATAGGACATGAGCATACAGCAGCATACAGCAGGTTCTTTGTGCGAGACGTATCAAAGATGACCTGTGGATGAAACACAGAGCTGCAGATGGACAGAAGGAAATAAACCTGAGAGAGACACAGTGAGATAGCTCTCAAGACTCTGTGATGCTTTGAAAGCTCCATCTCTCAGCGGCAGGGAAATTACCCTGGTATTACTCACATGTTTTTCTGTGTGCCAGAGTGAAACAACCATAAGCTGGAACCATAGACTGCTGCCGTGCCGTTCATTATCAGCTGCGAAGCGGCAAAAACAACGTTTTGTTTTGCTTTAAAGCACAATGATAACACAAATATATCATTACTAATGTCATAATTCACAGCAGTATTAAAGAAACCTTGACTATAGCAATTTAGAAGACAAAGACTTTCTCCATGCAAATTACACAAATATATAAATCACATGAATTCTCCCAGGCAATGGCCTATAACCACCACCATAAACAAGAATTATCGCTTTTGTCTTCTTGCTTTATTCAAAACAAAGGCTTTAAATAATATTCACCCCGGCGCAGATGAGCCCAGACTCACAGTATCACAGCACGGTTTACCCTTGATCCCCTGCCAGCTCACCTTGCATAACATTACACAGCAGATTACACAACAGGTGACACCAGCCAAGTTCACCAATTGGCCTCGGATTGACAATTTCAAAAGCCTCATCAATCCAGCAAAGCTAGACTTTGAACCCCAACACCTATTTGATGGATTTCAGATTTGTTGTAGAAAGACATTCAAAAAGGTAGAAGTGCTAACTTTGGAAGATTTGTAATTTGGGACGGCACTGTGCAAGTAGAATTCTGTAGCAGTAATCATCATGCTCTCTTTGAGTCTCATTATATTCCTCTTGTGTTCAAGGGAGTGAAATTAAACTGTGGCTCATTTTCCTGAGAAACCTCCTCAAATCAGCTCAAGGACTGTGTGGAGGACGCACAGTGGATATCATTGCTGCAGCACTGATCCTCTTCAAGACAAAATAGATCCGGGCTAAGGAAACAAAACCCCTTCTGTCAAAGAGAAGCCCATACTTGTCCATGAGAGTATGTGAAACGAGGTTCAGCTTCTACATCCTACATTTCCTACAGGGTTCGAACCCTAAAACCAGGGGCGGCGGGTACTGTAGGCTAGGGAAGGCTAATCATTCTGGTAAAAGAAAAATGTAATGTATAATGTTTGTGTCTTTGACATTAGCGCTGCTATGCAGCCACCTGTGCCCTGTACTACGAAGCCAGTTCAACAGACCCTGGATATGTTTGATTTATCTTAACTAACCCAACAAACGAGATCTAGCTAAGCGGTCCTACGACGCTGGTTATCAACTCAATCTCTCTCCAGCTCAGAGCGCGTTCATGTGAAACGGGCGGGGTTAGCAACATTTGACCAATCACAAACAGGGACAAGTGTAGCCTACTGACAGCGCAGCGTCATACTTCATTAATGAAAAGTAAACTAATATTAGACAAATATGAACTTTAAACATCCATGACTTAAACATATAATCCAGGATACAAGCCACATAGTTGCACCTGCAAGGTGAATACAGAACTGGTAAAAAAATAAATAAACTACCGAGTGTTTGAAAGCGTAACAGTTTTATGATATCACTGCCCCATCTAAGATCTGACTTTAAGATAGATAGATAGATTCAACTTATTGTCATTACGTAGTACAGATACTATGTAACGAAACGGTTTCTCTGCATTTGACCCATCCTAGTGTTAGGAGCAGTGGGCTGCCATTATGTACGGCGCCCGGGGAGCAGTGTAGTGTAGGTGCCTTGCTCAGGGACACCTCGGTAGCACTTGGTCTTTCCGGGACTTGAACTGGTGACCTTCCAGTTGCCAAGCCAAGTCCCTATGGACTTCGCCACCACCGCCCTAACCACCGCCGCCCTTTAACTATATTTGAGTTGAGTGTTTCGTTAACCTAATGTGTTGCTTAAAATAATACTTCTGTATACAGTATGAGACACTGTAGGTGATGCACGGCCAGATACGGCTCGAGAAGCTGACTCAGATAAGGACATAATATATGATATATTATGATATTATATGATCGATGAGCTGATTGATGATGTGATATGAATGATAAGTGGGACACGTCGGCGCCTTCTCTGCATACGGCAGTTTAAACTGTATTTCCTTTATACTTAATAGATTTAAACTCCGCACACTGAGCTCTGATCAGGCGGTGCTTTCACTGAGTTGATCTCTTTTCTATAGACACCGGAGAAAGGCAGCGTCAGGTAAAACAAGTTAGCCTTCCCAAACCTGAGCCTCACGCGCCGCCTATGCCTAAAACCATTACAATTAATAACCAACGCAGTCTTCACAAAAGGTCAGAGAACCGGCAAGTACTATGTACTATAGTAAACACTATATCATCATCACATCATATCAAAAGAGCTGACTAATGTCGTTTTTTTTATTTTACAAAAAAAACGTTTTCCTTTTAAAATAGTCCCCTATTATACTGTTTTTCATCCATATATTATAGGTCTCAGATACAAAACATGTCTCTGAAGTGTTTGGCTCCAAATACCAAACAGATCGTGCATTGTAGCATACCATCCCTCTGTTTCAGCCCTGTTTCAAAAGTGCTGATGCTCTGTCTTTTACTTATAAGGAATAAGGAGCCACTCCAAACGCCCCTCTGACAGATATTTGGTTAAAAATAACACAATAGGCGCTTTCACACCGGAGTACTTTTCCCAAGAACTAGGCCGAAGTTTTGTGAAGCCGCCATTTTATTGGCTCGCATTAGCATTATTAGCATTAGGATTAGCCCAGCGCACCAATGGAGAAAGACTAACGCCCCGTCTACACTACAGGCATCGAAAAATGCTTTCAACGCTTCGCCCATTCATTTGAATGGGGTGACGTAGAAGATTTTGAATCTTCGCCGAACTGCATTGTGGGGAGCATGGCATGGCTTTGCAAGCATCACGAGCATCTATCGGCATCAAAAGTTGAACAATGTTCAACTTTTGAGGCTCGATGCTTGGCATCAGCCAATCAAATCCCGTTTATGCAAATCCCGCCAGTACAAGCGCTAGCCAATCAAACCGCGTGCAAGCTGGGAGAGCCAGTTCATTTCCTCATATTCCAAACGAGAAATTACGGTAGCAAATCACCCGGTTCTTTAGGACCAGAACTATTTACCGGGATACAAACCGGAGAAACCAGGCATGGAGGGAGGTGGCAGAGACAGTGGGTGAAACTGGTAGGTTTTCACCTGTTTGGGGATTTTA